CTATTCACCCCCATCTGCCCTTCTGGTAAATCTACTCAGCCAGAGGTCCCTGTTCCAGGAGGATCAGTTGTTCCTCATCTACAGCAATCCATTGTCAGTATTCCTTTGGAAAGAATTGGGGTCTGCCGTTCATTTCTCCAGTAGTATCTTGGAACTGTCTGGAAGAGCCTTTATCCATCCTGTCCAAGAACTCGACTGAAGGTATCGCCTGTCTGGCTTTGCTGTTTGTCAAGTTATTGATTTTATTTTTATGTGTATGCATGTATTGCCTGCATGTATGTAAGTGCACCTGAGTCATGCAATGCCCTTGGAGGACAGAAGAGGGTGTCAGAGCCCCTGGAACTGTAGTTACGGACAGTTGTTAGCTGCCATGTGGGTGCTGGGATTTGAACCTGTGTCTCTGTAAGAAGATGACTCTTAGCTGCTGAGCCATCTCTCGAGCCCCTTTAATATGATATTTATATGTAAAAAATAATTATTTAACCAGGCGTGGTCACACATGCCTTTAATCCCAGCACTCGGGAGGCAGAGGCAGGTGGATCTCTGAGTTCAAGGCCAGCCTGGTCTACATAGTGAGTTCCAGGACAGCTGGGGCTACAGGGAGACCCTGTCTCAAAAAGACCAAAAAAACATTTAAACGCTTTAAGTCACTTGGCATAAGTAAAGTGTATAGTTATGTGAAGAGATGCTGTAAAAAGGTTACAGGTATTCCAGGTGTGGTAGCACTCACAATCTCAACACTTCATAGGCTGAGGCAGGATGATTAAGGATTTGAGACTATCAGGATTACACAGTGTGACTCTGTCTAAGGAAAAAAATGTGACAGGTGATGACTGGTTTAGTGGTGGTGGTGTGAAAAATGCTCAGAGGAACTGTTGTTTTCTATCCTCTCATAGGTCTCTTCATGGGGAGGTTATGTGTTCCTGATTAATTTGATCCCTCTTCATGTCCTGGTACTGATGCTGACAGGCCGTTTTTCCCACCGGATATATGTTGCCTACTGCACTGTTTACTGCTTGGGCACCATTCTTTCTATGCAGATATCCTTTGTGGGTTTCCAGGTAAGCCTTAGACTTTGTAGTTTTCTGTGGCTGTTTTTTTCTAAGCAGTTCCAATAAGATGGTCTTACATTGTATTCTCTAAAGAAGAGTATAAATTACAGCTATGATTTGGAGCTATTTGTTAATGGAAACAACAGAATCATTGGTCATTAAGATCTACTTCCAGTAGCATGTTAACATTTGCTATATGCAGTTCGAATTTAATGGTTCTTTTTTAAATATATTTTATTTATTATTTTTATTTTATGTGTATGTGTGTATTGCCTGCATGTAGGTAAGTTCATCCTTGTCATGCAATGCCTGCGGAGGACAGAAGAGGCTGTCGAATCTCCTGGAATTGGAGTTCTCATGGAATTGGACAGTTGTTAGCTGCTATGTGGGTGCTGGGATTAGAATCCGGGTCTTCTGCAAGAACAGCCAGTGGCTGAGCCAGCTCTCTAGCCCCATGAATTTAATGGTTCTTACTTGAATTTGGCTTGGCTTAGTTTTGCTGTTGTGGCTTGGCTTAGGTCTTTTTTTTTGGTTGTTTGTTTGTTTGTTACTTTTGAGACAGGTTCTCCCTGTATCCCCAGATGGTCTGGAGCTCCCTATGGAGACCAGGTGATCTCATAGGGATTCAGTTGCCGCTGCTTCCTGAGTGCTGGGATTAAAGGCATGTGCCACCACGCCCAGCCCTTGGCTTAAGTTTGTGGGAGGAAGAGGAACACTTTAGTTGAGGTGATATGAATGATCCAAGTTATAATTTCAAAAAATTAAGATTTCCAACCCTTTTAGTGGTATTGACTTAATTTATAGCAGTGGGTCCTGATCTTAGTGGGGCCTACATGTGAGTCCTTTAGGAAGGAAAGCACAAACATTTTACCTACATTGTTATGTAGAGTTAACAGAAACTATTCTCATGAAATTCTCATCTTTATTTTAGAGATAAGCAAATATTTCTGATCGTCTACTATATGTAATTTGCCAATTGCTGAAAAATGTAAAGAGAGAGGAAATAATCTATTCCTTAAGGAAGCTAGAGAAAGAAATACATGCAACTATCTGAAGCCTATAATGCAGTAGTTCTAGAAAGTAGTTTCTAGACCAGCAGCATAAGCAGTGCCTGGAAACTTGTTACAAATGCATAGAGGTAAGAGGATCAGGAGTTTAAGGCTGGCTTAGGATACATGAGACCCTGTCTCCAAAAAAACAAAGCAAAAACGAAACAAAAGAAACCCAGACAAAACCAAACCAAGGCAAAGGAAGCAGAAAACCAGACAATTGACTCAAACTTTGGGTTGAGGCTCAGCAACCTGTTTTAACACTCCCACTGGTTATGATGCCCGCTAGAGTTAGGGAACCACTGGTGTCTAAGGCAAAGTGTGATCAAGTGCTAAAAGAAATCTAGAATGCCATAGAACATAGAGTGATTGACTTGTTAGATAAGATGATACTTGCATTGGATCTGGAATGGTGAATTTCAGTGAACAGAAATTTGGGGAAAATTGTAGTCCAAACAAGGAAGCAGTCTGAGCAAATGGCAAAGATGTGATTATAGTGGTATATGGTTTGCTTTGGATTACTCCACATGTTCTTTGGAAAATGTAATAGGTAAATTAAACCCTCTTCTATACTGATCCTAGTTCTTTTGGGAACTTCAGAACTCATTTGACTCCTTGGTCTGAAGTAGATGAGGAAAATGCCAATTTTGTATGAATTCATTCTTTTTTTTTTTGCCTCTAATATTGCTGTACATAATATTTTCCCCCTCTCTTACAGCCTGTCCTTTCATCAGAGCACATGGCAGCCTTTGGAGTCTTTGGTCTCTGTCAGATCCATGCCTTTGTGGATTACCTGCGCAGCAAATTGAACCCACAGCAATTTGAAGTTCTCTTCCGGAGTGTCATCTCCCTGGTTGGCTTTGTTCTACTCACCGTGGGAGCTCTCCTCATGCTGACAGGTAGAGGAGCACAGCTTTTACAGTTAAATGTACATGGGTAAGACAGTGTCGTACCACAAAGACTGGCTACTTTCTGACCACAGAAGAGTCTTTTTCTTTTACTTTTCTTTTTTTTCAAGCACTTAAGTCTTGATTTTTTGTATATTCACTCTGCTACTCAGCCCAGAGTTTGTGTTCATTAGGCTTAGAGTGTCTTCTTGGAGCTGCTGAAAGGACCATGTCTTACCTTGCCAATCTTTTTTCAGATTTTTCTTTCTTTCCTATTGATTGGGTTATAGAAATCCTTACACTCTATTGTACCTTATGTCATGGCACCTTTCTGATTCTGTGGGTACTAAATCATGGCTGTTTAGTTTGATTGGTATTCTCTGCTTGTGCTTCTCAGAGGCTAATTTGATTTTGGCTAATTCAGAGTGGGACTAAAGGACCTAGTTCACTTAGTTTCTGAGCTTGCCCTTGGTTTGACCTTATTAAGCCTAATTTCCTTTCTAGGAAGCTTCTTTGCCTCTCTTCTCCCTGAATTTATATACAGCCCAATTCTTACGTTGACAAAAAATACTCAGGTTTAAAAGGAAGGGAGTAAAACTCTGTAAATATTATTGATGGTACTAAAGCAAAGAAAGTTTTTGTATTAGTCTGGATTCTCCAAAGAAACAGAACCAGTAGAATGAATATATATGTATAGAGATTTATCAGCTTAGCTCACAGGATAGAGTCCGAGTAGTCCAACAATGGCTGCACCACACTGGAGAGGCTGAGAATCCGTAGTCGCTCAGTTCACGAGGCTGGATGTCTCAGTAGTCCTGGTCTGGTGCTGAAAGTCTGATGAATTCCAAAAGGTCAGCTAGTCTTCAGTCTACAGCAGCAAGATGAACTCACCAGCCAGAGAGAAGGCAGGCAGCAAAAAGCAAGGCATTCTCCTCTGCCATGGCCTTTTATATTGGCTGCCATCAGAAGGTAACACCCACATTTAGGGCATGTCTTCCAGCTTCAGATGATCCAATTAAGAAGATCTCTCTCATTTCAGTTAATCCCAGATCCAGTCAAGTTGACACCCAGGATTAGCCATCACAGTTCTTTTCTGAGAATTTTACTAAAATGGAATATTGTGGGTTGGTAAGATGTCTCGGTAGGTAAAAGTGCTTGCCTCACAATTTTGCACTCCTAGCCAGAGATGGGTAGTTGAGGTAGGTAGAATCACCTAGAAGCTCTTGAGCAAAAACAATAATAGAGCTCCTACCTCAAGAAGGTGGAAAACAAGAACCAGCTCCTGAAAATTGTCTTCTGACACCCACCCATGTGTCATGGCATGTGTGCTCCTGCTCTCTCTTTCATGTACACTCCTTCTCTGTTGTGCGCTCTCTCTCTCTCTCTCTCTCTCTCTCTCTCTCTCTCTCCCCACACACACACACACACACACACACACACACACACACAAGCTACTACTACTACTGCTGCTGAAAAATAAAGTGGGATGTTGTGATTAGTTAGGATGCTAGTTTAATGTTTTAGGAGTGTATGCAAAATCTTTATTGCCTCTTTTTTTTTATTTCAGGAAAAATTTCTCCCTGGACAGGGCGTTTCTACTCACTGCTGGATCCTTCTTATGCTAAGAACAACATCCCCATCATTGCTTCTGTGTCTGAGCATCAGCCCACGACCTGGTCCTCCTACTATTTTGATCTCCAGCTCCTTGTCTTCATGTTTCCAGGTCTGTCTTGCATTTTGAAGTCACCTTCATAAGAATCACCATTTGATTCCAGATATGTCAACTACCCCCATCCTGTAAAAAAATTTTTTTACATTTATTTATTTTTAAAAAATATTTTACTTATTTTATGTGTATAAGTGTATTGCCTGCGTATGTATGTGCACCCGTGTTGTGCAATACCCATGGAGGTCTAAAGAAGGTACCAGATCCCCTGGAAATGGAGTTAAAAATAGTTGTTAGCCATCATGTGGGTGCTGGGATTCGAACCCATGTCCTCTGCAAGAGCAGTCAGTGCTCTTAACCACTGAGCCATCTCTCCAGTCCCACATTTATTTATTTTTAATTTAATTAATTAATTAATTAATTAATATGTGTGTGTGTGTTTTATCTGTGTTTGTGCACATGTTTGAGGACAGCTTTGAGAGTTGGTTCTCTCCTTCCACCATTGGGTTTCAGGGATTGAACTCAGGTAGTGAGGCTTGACAACAGGCCCCTTCACCTTTAAGCTAATCTCACAGGCCCTCAACCCTTTTTGTTACTCTGCTTGTATAGTGTAGGATAGAGGATGGTTAAGTATATTTTTCTAAATATTTGAAGCAATGTAGACATCAGACATTGAAGCTACAGACATTAGCAAGTTGAGTCCTAAAATTTTGTGTTCTAAATTAAAATTCAACTCTAGTTTTCTTTAATTCATCATGCTTAATTGAACCTTAATTACATGCTTAATTATACCTCCAGCATGTCACCTAGAAAGACTTCTCTGCTTGTCTCCTGGAGACCATTTCACCTACTGCTTTGTTGGTCATTAGCTTCTTGTCTCTCTTCCGAAATGCTGGGAGGTGGATTCCTTTTCCATGGGAAAGAGAAATCCATGATCAACTGATTTTTATTCAGTTTTTAAATTTAGTACTTTTAGCATGTTCTTTCTCAGTTTTCTTCTTGGCAGTATTGAAGTTCCATAGTGAGATTTTTATTGTGTTTTGTATAATTTGTAAAACCACTTTGGGTAAGTTAAAACGAGAAGGGAGATTTGCAAGAGTCCTTCCACCTGTCTCTGGTCATGTATAGTGATGCATGCCTATGTTCCTAGCAATTGGGAGCAAGATGCAGGAGGATTAGTGTCCACCCTGGGCCACATAGGGAAACACTCTCAAAGAGCTATAACCAAACTTTGTTTGTTGTGACAGGGTATCACTAGGTAGCCCTGACTAGCCTGGAATTTGCTATGTAGACCAGGCTGGCCTCTAACCCAGAGAGATTTGCCTGCCTCCTAAGTGCTGGGCTTAAAAGTGCATACCACCACACTAACCCCAAAATCCTACTTATAATTTTTAAAAAATTTTTTTATTTCTTATGTATATGAGTGTTTTGCCTACATGTACGAAGATGCACCAAGTGCATGCATTGCTTGTAGAGGCCAGAAAAGGGTGTCGGCTCCCTGGAACTGGAAGTTCCAGGCATTTGTGAGCTGAGTTGTTGAACATGAATGAGATCATACAGTTTTTCCCACTACTCATAAAGAATCATGATAGGGATGGGGCTGTAGTCAGTGGTAACCCACTTGCCTAGCACATATGAGGCCTGAGTTCAACCCTTAGTACTGGGGCGAAAAATAATCATGATAATTTCTGCTGATTCAGTATTGATTTTATCATTCTTAGATTTTTTTTTTTTTTTCATCTGCAGAAATGGATGAAGATGTGGAAGCGGGCGAGTTACCTATAACTAACTTCATGTAGCAGTATCTTACTACATTTCATACTTAAAATATGCTATAATTAACTAGCTTCTTTGCTAGGCATATAGATTGTAAAAAAATTTTTTGGTATTTAAGAATATCGTAGTAAACATCTTTGCCTGTTTCTATAATTGTTTTTTTAGGATAGATTCCTGGAAGTGGAGTTTCTGGATTAAATGTGTGACGTCATCAGTTGTATAGTAGTGACTCCCTTGTACGGTTCTGCCTACAGGGCTCATCTGCTTACTTCTCCTTCCTTCTTTTGTAGTTGGTCTCTATTACTGCTTTAGCAACCTGTCTGATGCCCGGATTTTTATCATCATGTATGGTGTGACCAGCATGTATTTTTCAGCTGTAATGGTGAGGAATTCCCTCAGTCTTAGCAAAGCCTTTTTTTTTTTAATAATTTATTTCATTTTATTGTGTGTGTGTGTGTGTGTGTGTGTGTGTGTGTGTGTATTGCCTGCACATAAGTAAGTGTACCCATGTCTCTCGATGCCTGTAGGGGACAGAAGAGGCTGTCAGATCCCCTGGAACTGGAGTTACGGACAGTTGTTAGCTGCCATGTGGGTGCTGGGAGTTGAACCTGGGTGTTCTGCAAGAACTGCCAGTGTTCATAACCGCTGGGCCATCTCTCCAGACCCTGCCTTTTATCTCTAACATGGAAGTGCTTTTTTTTGTTTGTTTTTGCCTGGCAAGATTCAGAAAATACTGTTGATTATGCAGGTGCTCCCTTCTGAGGGAAACACTTGAAGGACTGAATTTTAGAAAGCTGCTTACTGTTATTGATCCTTAGGAATATACAAGACACATATTGTCTTTGTGGGGTCTGTCTTTCTTGGGTTTATAACCTTGTGTTAGTCACTTTTCTACTTCGTTGGGGAATTTGAACCTGGATAGTTTAAAAATCCTAAAGCCTTAGGAATATTGTCTACTGCTAGGTTGTTAAGACAGAGAAGGATTTAATACGATATACTAGTGAAATATTTCTCATATTATTTTGATGATAAGTAGAAATTAAGAAATACATTTTAGGTAGGGATGGTGGTCTGCCTGCAGTCCTAGCACTTGGGAAGTGGAGGAAGGAGGATCAGAAGTTGGAGGACAGTCTGGGCTACATAGCTAGTCTGTCTCTAAAAACAAAAACATACAAAAATGAGTAAATAAAAAATATTTTGCATTATTTCATATCTAAGAGCACACATACGTATGTACACATAACTTCCAACATAAAAATTAATTTAAAATTTTGTCACTAAGCCAGGCATGGTGGTGGACTTGGAATGTGGAGACAGGAGGATCTGGAGTTCACTGTCACCCTGAGTTCCAAGCTAGCCTGAGCTACAAGAAATCCTGTCTGTCTGTCTGTCTGTCTGTCTCTGTCTCTGTCTCTCTCTCTCTCTTTCTCTCTCTTTCTCACACACACACACACACACACACACACACGAAATTCTGTCACACACACACAGACTCATGGAACAAGAAAGCCTACCCCCAAATAGATGTGTTAGTGTACCCACCCCTGTAATCCCAGTAGTCCAGAACGGGGTAGGAGGGTATCAAAAGTTCAAAATCATCCTTGGCTACATAGAAAGGTGAGACCAGCCTGGGCTACATAAGACCCTAACTTAAAAACAAAGCAAAAACCAAAATTGCAGCAAAGCTTGCTTTTTATGTTTACGGTTTTTGAGACAAGGTCTTACTACATAGCCCAGAGTGGCTTTGAACTTTTTGGGTGGAGAAGAGTTCCTTTAGTACCTGCTGACCTGGAATTCACTGTGTAGGCCTCTGCCTACCAAGTGTTGGGATTAAAAGAGTACACCACACCTGGCTTATCTACAACAAAGTTAAAGTAATATGTAGTTATTGTACTGTAGCTATACCAGATATTTTTTATTCCATCTTCATTGAAATAGCATGTCTGTTGAAAATTGCTAAATGATGTCATAATCTTCTGTTAAGTTAAAGTGTATAATATGATACACTGATTAGACTGATAAAGATTCCTGTTACTTTCAGGTGCGTCTAATGCTGGTATTGGCACCTGTTATGTGCATTCTTTCTGGCATTGGTGTCTCCCAAGTGCTGTCCACATATATGAAGAATCTGGATATAAGTCGCCCAGATAAGAAGAACAAGAAGCAACAGGATTCTACATACCCTATTAAGAATGAAGTGAGAATTAAGCAACACTAAAATAGGCTTAGGAAAATGCATGCACTTGTGTGTGAGTGGGGCATTAGAGTACTGTCCTAGGTGGTCAGAATTATTTCATGTAGCTTAACTTTGATTGATCTCGTATTACTGACTATATGTAAGATAGTGTTCTGTGTTGTCTAAATTTATTTTGGTTTACCTTATAATTTTTTGTGTAGGTAGCAAGTGGAATGATACTGGTCATGGCTTTCTTTCTCATCACCTACACTTTTCATTCGACCTGGGTGACCAGTGAGGCCTACTCTTCTCCTTCCATCGTACTGTCTGCCCGTGGTGGTGATGGCAGTAGGATCATTTTTGATGACTTCCGAGAAGCATATTATTGGCTTCGTCACAATACTCCAGAGGTGAAAATTTGGGAGGATTGTGGGATACTGGCAATAACATTTGATATTGGAAAGCTTAGAGAAATTAGAAATTTAGAAACCTAATGTTTATGAACTTGAAAGACCAACCTCCATTCAGGGATTTCTTTTTTTTTCTTAAGGGCTTTCTTTTATCATGACTTTTATTAAATTATCTAGACTTTGCGCTGGGCATGATGGGGCATGGCTTTAACAGCACTCAGGAGGCAGAGGCTGGTGGACAAGGCCAGCCTGGTCTAGAGTGTGAGTTCCAGGACAGCTGGAGCTACAGGTAGACCCTGTCTCAAAAAGACCAAAATAAAAAAAAAAATCTAGACTTTACTTGGCTTGGACACTTGCATTGATGGTGGTTTTAATATGAGGTAGATTGTCCCAATTATAAAAGAAGAAAAAGTTAAATAATACATGTCCACTGTAGAAAAAAAATCAGAAAATAGAATAAAGGAAAACAGTGCACTTAATGATAACTACTTTTAACATTTTAGGTAATGTCTTTTGAGGATTTGAAATGATTTCTTTTGCAACAGTTATTGGGTAGCGTTTCTGAGTCAGATTTGCTGAGTCTAAACTAGCAGTGGTAAAGATTGAACTCATCACCTTATACATGCTGAGTAAATACTCTACTACTGAAGTTTGTATCCAGGCCCCAAACTAAGAATCTCTTAATCTTTGTCCATCACATCTTGAAGTTTGTGATTTCCCTTCCAGCTTTGGTTTTT